TGATATGGTTTTGTATATATTTCATTATTTCTTTTTATTTTATTATTAATATTTCATTAAAGTAGTTTAGTTCCTTCTAAAGTCATATGTCTCTTTTTCCCTCCTCTTGAAGAGGGGTAGAGGGGAGCACCTGTCGGTCCCATCTGGGATCCCCCAGGTCCCCAGTAGCCAATTTGGCCTAAACCATGACATCCCTCATACATCTCTTTATACACTTGTGCCCTTTGTTGTTAAACACCTGCCACGTTTTACCCTGAAGGTGGCTAAACTCTAATGCTGTGAAAACAATCCCTCCTTTAGGATCCTTTGGGATTAAGGACATTAAATAAATGTAAGCTGTAATATTAAAAATATATGCAACTTTATAGTAACAGTTGCCATTGTTGTTGGCACTGTGTAGCACCAGGGGACCCATTGTGTTGGGAACCATAACTGCAGAATAGAGATGGTTCTCCAAATTGGATCCAGCTGTAAGAAGCGGTCACATATCCAGCTGCTGCTTCCTGTAATGTGACAAGAGCACAAGCAGCTTGGTGGGGTGCTAAAGGGAGGGCTACAACTGCCTCAGAATCATGAATAGACCGAGCCCGGTCCTTTCAGAAAAGAGTTCATACTCTAAACTAAAATGCCAGACTCAGCAGGTAGGCAACAGCAGGCAGGTAAAAGAAAGCTATCAGAAATAATTTCTCCTGGGGTTTATAAGTCTCTGGCTGGCACTTACAGGAAAGCAGACTGAATTTACAACATATTCCACATATCACATCTTGTAGTGCAGATAAGATCTCCTCCTCTATCAGTTTGTAGAAGAGAGGGCCAATGGTGTGTGTGGGAGACACAACCAAGGTTTACAAAGTCATGAAAGTGATAGATAAGCTGAATGCAGAACTGTTGATCACCAAATCTCACAGCATTAGAAGGACAGACATTGACTAAAAGTAGTAGTAGATCATCTTAAAACAGATGTGAGTAAGTACTTGTCTACACAGCAGGTAGTGAACTTCTGAAACTTGGTACCACAGGACATTGTCAGGGCAGACAGCCTTAGTGGGTTCAGATAAATCCATGGATGGCAGGTCCATAAATCGCCACTAAAGGCAAAAAGCAGAAGTGTGCCCTCTAGCAATTCTCGTCCAATAAGCATGAATTTGTGAGCAGTAAAAGGAGACTGGAAAGTAGGAAATCACCAGGCTTGTGCACTTGCCCTCATGTCACTGTCAGGACCTGAACACTGGCCAGCTGGACCACAGGTCTGACAAAATAGAGCACTTCTTATGTACTTATGATGAGCATTTGACCAACACTGAAGAGCTCAAGGTATGCCCAAGGACAGGACAGAGCTTTAAAATACTCCAGCATGGTACAAGCTATAGCACTGCTATGCTTAGACTATTTTTCCAGGAAATTTGGAGGGACTAACGTATTCCCTCACAGCATAAAGTCCAGTCTTGTTCAAGTCATGCAAAAGGAAAGAAAGGACCCCTCTTGCCTATTCTTGCTCTCTGCGATGCTAAAAAATATACCATATAATATGGTATTCCATAAGTGCTATCTCACACATTCTTGAGCATCTACATTAACTACAATGGTGCAATATCAAGGAGGCATTATATCTTTCTAACTGATGTATTTCTTTGTCACTGCAGTATTGTGTTCAGCATTTGAAGGGTGTAATTCAGGCTGCAGGATGGGAGTTATCATCCATGTATTTCTATTACAAGACACTGTAAAGTGTATAAGAATCATCAGAGAAATTAAAATAGACCAGTCATTTCCATGCTTTGGTCTACATATACTGGATTTGATTATCTATCACCAAAGAGGAATTTTAAAATAGGAACACTGTTTTCCACCAGTTCTTCATTTAGTTATTATGCAAAACCAGATCTGCTTATCCTGGGTATTCTGTGCTTTATTTACATTTATGTAAACCCAGAGGCTCTCCACTAATGTCCAGATGGAGTTTACATTGCAATTAAGATAAGAACCATGATCAATAGATCTTCTGCACTCTCCCCTTTCACCCACTGTGGGGTTTTCATCCCCTTAAAAAGCCTGACATTTGCCCTGGCTTTAACCCACCAAGCTCATTCCAACCCCTACATACATATATCTGTGTATATGTACTCACGCTAGCCTAGCACCGCAGTTTTCGCCTTCAATATCTGCTCCAGGGACGTTGTCTGTGTTCACGGACTCGGTCTCACTGGTGGGCATGCTCACTGTAAGAGTCAAAGGGAAGAAAAAGAGAGGGTTGGCCATTAGAACCTGGCATGTCTCTTAACAAATCACATGAGTGAAGGAACTGGCTTAATGAAAAGACCATCAGCTGCAGCTCCTGAGGATTAAGCAATTTGCTGAGCAAGTATAGCGCCTCCCTGCACAGGCCGGGCTGGGCAGGTAGACTTCAGGAACATACACAGATTACTCAAATGCTAAAGGGAAGAAGCAGCTGCTTTCTTTCTTTCAGAGTCAATTCCTGGAAATTTTATGAATGAGAACCATTGAAAATTAGAGAACTTGGCAAAGCCATCAAAGAAGTTTTGCTTGATTCAGTGGAACACCTGAAAAAGTGCCCCTTTGCTTGCACCAGCCCAACCATCTCACTGCCCTCCCCAATCTCCTGTGCAACGAGCAGAGTGCAAGTAAAAAGATTGACAGGTATTGAGAAAAATGGCTTCTGTTATCCTGACAGCAAGTAATACTGATGGCTGGCCTGTCATGTACTAACAATTAATGTCTTTCAACCTCACACTTATAAACTGGACCTATAGGAATAAGAGGGAAATTCAGACTCTCTGACCCATTCAGATATTACCAACAATAGAGCTAATGAATATGGACCATGGTAGAGATTTTATGTTGACACTCACCAACTAAGAACTGGACAGAATCTCCTAGGCTTTTACAGAAGTATCATGGAACAAACATCAAATGAAAGCAACCTTAGGTGTCAACTCATCTAGATTCAAGGACCTGTCACATATTCTATCTGTAATCAAATCTCAATATTTTATTTGCTTCTACAGATCATAAAGAAAAAAGATATCACAATTTCCATTTCACCAGTTGCTCCCAGCTCCTATATGTGCTCTAATAACTTCTTAATATATAATCATTCAACATAAGTTAGGACAATGGATAGGATCCAATGTGTGTCCTCTTCCCTCCTGCCCCCTTTTCAAATGCACAAAACAAATGAAAAAAAGATACTTAAAACTGAACAATGGAGGAGTTAAACAGATATCTCAGATACCTGGTAGAACTTCAGAACATGACCTGTATTAGCAGTTGGATATATATCTCAGATGAGATTTGAAAGCATGCACTATTAGCTGTTGGAGAGGCTTCTAACAGCCTGTAAGAATACTTTACTCAATATTGAGAGCATATCTATTTGTGGGTCCTGGTGCAAAAGCGGGCCATGTAGAATAAATGAGTTCTGCATTTCAATTGGGCAGATGTTTAACAGGCCAGGGAAGCAGGTCTTCTTTCAGAGGCTAGAAAGATATCAGAAGGTTCTTCCCAAGAGGTCCTGGGTTCCTGCTCTGAATGCATTATGGTAGAAATGTCCCTCAAAATGAACTCTTTCCTTCATCCCATCCCAACAATTCATGTGACTACAACATATGTCTTGGGAAATCTAAAGTTCTTGTATTGTCTTCTTAGGACCATATGAAACAATGGACTCTCTAGTACTCTTGGCATAACTATGAAACATTGTACTCTGATGGTGCCTGTTGCTTTACAAAGACTAGATGTTTTAATAATCTTGTCTGTTTGGAAAGACAAGGAATCAACTGAATTCATATTTTGATGCACATGAAACAGTCAAGTAAGCTGTAAGAAGACAACATTCATAATTAAAATTTTCAGCCCAGACTAAGCCCTTCAGGAAGAAAACAAAACGTTGATATTTCGCAAGTCATCTTTGAAGATGAGGTAAAGCACTTTCAAGTCATATTTGAGCTTATTTGCAAATGGAAAACAATTTTGAAGACATTAGCAAGAGACTGATTTGCAGAGCAGCTTATTAGCTTGAGTGCATGAAGAGAACACTGCACAAGCGATGGAAAAAGCAAGGCACGCACATGCAGAAGTATACAAAGGTATATTATATGTCAGTCTGTATAGAGATATATAGACACATATGCACAGATATACACCGTGTGGACAGAGAGTGCAGTGGAACATTACCATGGGTTTCTGTGGAGTGACTAAACCAAGCAAACTTTCCTTTCTTCTTATCAGGCAAGCCAGCTGGAGTGCTTCCTTTCACAGACAAGATGGTCAGTGTCAAGTACCAGGAACAAGACATCAATAGAGAACATGCAGCCAGTGACAGGCAAAAGAAAAAAACAAGGAACTCAGCTTACACATGACATCCACGTCTGTCTGAAAACTTCATCACGTGAATTAAAAGTACAAAATTAAAAACAAAGGAAGTATGAAATATTATAACAGATCATCAGAGGATAATTCTGCCTTGCTTTTTGCTCTTTTTCATATCTGACTTCTGAGAACATGAAGTTGTTGAATTTAAGTTTATGGATAAAATCTTTTTTCCAGTGATATCAATGGCAAAACTCGTCTTGTTTGACTGTCTGACCAGTTGAAATTGACGAGACTAATGCAATCACAATTTGTCCTCAGGTTGTCTCCTGACCTAAGGAGATCCCTAAGTATCAGAATCTAGACTAGCCAATTTTTGAATGAGGTTCCTTGGCTTTCTTCCTAAACTGCTCCAATACCTAGAAATGTTTTCAAAACTGTCAGAGCCGCTAAAGGAAAGTTGTCGGGGTAATCACATTTTTCTATTTCTCTGTCTCTAGAGATGAACAACCTTCATCAGGCACTCAGATGTACACTGCCTTACCCAAACTAGGATACCCCTAGACTACACTAGACTCCTAGAATGTTTTACATTTGAGTTTACATCTGGACTTGCCCTCTGACGTCCTTCTGCTGCATAGTTTTTCATGGCGTTAGTTAATGTTGATCCTCTGCCTGTTACGCACAAAAGCCCTTAGCCCACACAGATCAGATGTGCATGCACAGAGAAGTCTTAGAGCTTACTTCACACTTCCCTAATCTCACTCCTGCAGAAAGCCAAATTAAAGCGAGGGATGCAGGTGCAGTGGCACACAGGCTGAAGAGACTCCTGTGGTTCTGGCTAGCTTGCTGGCACTAGCTCACACAGGCATTCATTACACTGCACTGATGGAAAAAGTTAAGGACAATAAAAAGTATTAAGATGGCATCAAGTATAAGAGGAACGATAGCCTAGAAGTTAAAGGCCAGGACAGGCAGGAGATTAGGACTGTATTCCCCAATGTGGTATGCTCTCAGCGGGGCAATCACTTATTTTACCTGGCACCTCACATCACCTTCAATATCAGGGGATAATCACGTGTGCAGGTGCTGTGAGGTTCATTCAGGCCCGTTAACAAATCCTGAAAATAAAAGATGCTGCAGGAGAGGTGTGCATAAACTGGGGCTGAATATGAGAGGAAGTAAATCAAATACTGCCCAGATGGCTTTCTTATCTGACTCAGCTCTCAGAGACACAGACCTTGTGCCTACACCCCATCTCCAGCCTAGAAACAAGGCAGGCATTTTTTGCAGTCCGGGTAATTAATTACTGGAACCATGTACCAAGAATGCTGGTGGTAAATCCACCACAGGAATGTTTTAATTAGGAAGAGATGTTTTTTTCTAAATGGTGGGCTCTAGTCCAGACCAGAGTTATGTTTAGGACCATGATATACAGACTATGCCACCTCACTGGCCACTTCCTCCTTGTAATTTTGGAAGCTGAGACAAAAGCAAAAAAGAGGCAAATGCAAATTTCCTCCCACCTAGGCAAAGAGGAACTTAGCAGTAGAAATCTTGGTGCCTCACCTCCATGTTTGTCCAGTGACTTAGGGATTCTTACAGGAGTGGTTTTCTGTCAAGGTAGAGGGCACATTGTTTCTCTGTGGCCCCCCCACCTCCCAGCCTTCAAGCAGAGCATTAAGTCTTCGATCTACCACATACTTTGCATTGAAGGTGCTTCAGCGTCCAAACTGCAGTATGGGCAAGGCAGTGATGGAACGCTGTGCATACTACTCAACTGCCCACCTAACACCCTAAGGTATTAGGTCAAGCAACTAAATACCCATGTTGTATGTAGGTGACTTCTTGACAGCAGGGAACAATTCTGTCCCCTCATCCCTCCATCCTAAGTGACAGCAGGCTGTTAAAGGGGTGAGAAGGCATTTCCACCAGGCAGTTTGCCTTTGCTCGACTTCACTAGGAGCAGCAGTGCAGCAAACGGGGCAATGAATACACAGAGTGGATGGCTCGTTTCAACCAAACCAGTACAGTGAGCCACTAACAACACCACAGGCACAGGTCCCATAGAAGATATTACATATTTCACAGAATTATAAAATGGTTTGAGTTGGAAGGGACCTTTAAAGATCATCTAGTCCACCGCCCCTGCCATGGGCAGAGACATCTGTCACTACGTCGGGTTGCTGAAAGCCCCATCCAACCTGACCTCGGACATTTGCAATGATGGGGCATCCGCAACTTCTCTGGGCAACCTGCTCCAGTGTACCTCTTCCTGAGGCAAATCATGGTGGCTTTGCTTACACAGCAATCTCTTTTTTTGGATTTAACATCATATCCATAATTCACTCTGGTTGAAACCTCCCTTTAGTTACATATTCTCTAGGTAGCAATGTTTTTGAAGGGAAGTGAATCAACTTTTAAAAGGCACGCAAGTATCTTAGAAGGACTGGTAGGTTTCATACTCTCTCTTACAGTTTCTTCTGAAGCCTTTGCACTTCTTATATCTTGCCACAGCGTGGCTCATCTCTGAACGTAGACTTTTTCTCCTGGACTACCTAAACTCCACTTTCACATTATTTAGGGTTACACAAGATTCCTGCGACAACTAAAGCAACAACAAATGCTATGTAGCAGCTTCCTTAAAAATGAATCTGAGAAATTCCTCATGTTATGTTAATTCTATCTCTGAGACCCAGCAGACAGAAATAAGGACAGAGTCTGCAGTCCACGACTGGCTAGACAGACAGATGTATGAGACACTTTGAGACCCTCTGTTCCCTGTCACTGGCATCAAGCATGGACACCATCTCTACTCTTGCTCTAGCATATGTCCCTCCTCCAATGAAGTGCCCCATGGACATGCAATGAATTTTTAGATGGCAGGTTG